AAATTGATCCCAAATGAAAATAGTACTAGACTAGAAAAGACTCTTAGCCTGTCCTAATGGCATTCTTATAGCATCTGCTTTCTATTCCTGTTTGTCTGTTACTATTATTGTTTTGATGCTTGGATTTGTTCTGATTCAATTGATTATTGTTTGATTTATGGTCCCTAGGTAAATTAATCCTTCAGTCTTCATATTATCTTCCTAGGAGCCAAACAATCCTTCAGTTTGTCTGAGTATAGAGAAAGCGAAAAAATATTTGGAGGTCTCTTCCAGGAAAGAAACACGTCAGGGATGGTTTCACAGCAGAATTGTAGATTTCTTGGATCTGAAACCCTCCAATTTTCCCAAGCAGCCTCCCACACTGTAGAGAATAAGGAAGATGATCTTGGCAGAATTATGCAGGATCCTTTGCATAGGCAAAAGGGGCTAAATATTTTTAAAATTCAGAATAAGATAACGTTTGGACGCAACACAGACAGATGCCTCCTTAATCCACTGAAGTATAAGGAAGAGGAAGTCCAGCACAATCAGACTCAGAACACTCTGTTATTGCAGATACTTTCAATTAGTTTTCTTGTGGAGTTGATTTCCTGTCTGATCTACCTGGCGGAGCTGACACAAACTAGCATATGTTAACCTGTCATTCTAGTTGTTGTTGTTGTTTTTGAAAATTTTATTGATTTTTAAAAACAAACATAAACATACAAAACATAGAACATAAAAACATAAAACATCTTTTTTGAAAGCAGCCTGATCCTGGGTTACATCTCTTCGTGCAGACACAAATTTAAGTTCATGCTCATTTTTATATTCCATTCCATATCTTATTATCATTCTACATTTTCTATATAATTTCTCCTCTCTTTCAACTTTCTTAATTTTATTTTATTTACATCATCTCAATTTAAATCATCATGCTTATATTCTTTGTCTGTCCTGTTTCAGCTGTCTATTATGTTTTCTCATTAAGCAAAATTTCTCCTGTGATCACTAATTGGAGTATGACGCCTTTATATCTTTCCCCTAAAATTATAACACTTAATGTAATACATAATTTCCATTCGGATTCTGTTTGGTACATTCTAAAATTACAAAATGTATTTTAAAAAAAGAAAAAATTGTAAATATATAACATAATTAAAACAACAATCCATACCAATTCAATTCTATCATTAATATTAATATTAATTTAAATCTTGAACATTTTATACATTACTTTTCAAATAAGTATCCTACTTCTATGGGAACACTTATAAACTTTCCATAATTACTTCCCTCCCACTTCACTTATATTTTATAAAACATTGAGTAGTTAGAATGTTCCCATTCCTTCCTAATTCAATTCTCTCATTTATTTCATTTCATTTATTTTGTTCACAAAAATTTCACTAAATTACAGACTATTTTATTCCTCTTTTTAATCATATGTTGTTTCCAATTTCCTAACATTATTTCTATTACAAATATAACAACGCAATCTTATGTACCTTTACAGAATCCCTTTTTCAATTAAATTTTCACCCATTACCTCTGAATAAATCCTGTTTCTTTACATCTTGCTCCAGCTCTTTGTAATTTCTCTTCCCTTTCTTCTTCTTCTTCTCTCTCCCCTTTTTACCCCCCTGTCTCTCCACCTCCATTTCCCTCTTCTGTATTCCCCCTTTCTGTTGTTTTCCAACATTATATCCCCTTTTCACATTATTTTTCCCTTTTTTGGCTGTTTTTTTAGGTCTTAAATTCTCCATTCTCTTTCCCCCCCTTTCCCCTTTCTTCCCCAAATAGAATTACTTGTTCATTAAAAATGGCTTCTTCTTTATCCCAATCTTCTTGTTGCGCATTCCTTTCTTGCTGTTTCTTGTAAACACCAATCGCCATTTCTAAGAATTGAAAAGTAGAGCCAAAAGAGCCCTTCCCTTCTTGTTCCTCTTCTTTATATTTTTTTAAATTCAATTTTCAGTTCATCCAGTTCATTCAGTCCATCCAGAAGTAATGCCATTGTAGAATGTTTTTTTTAAGCAACCAGCCAATTATTTTTAGTCAATCAATCAAATATGATTTCCAAAAATCTCAAAGTCACCAAACAATCCAAATACACACAAGCTGTTTCTTTTAACAATTTCTTCTTTTTTCACTTTCTCTTCTTGGGGTTACTATTTAGTTGCAAAATTCCAGTTAAAATGTATCCTTTAGAAGTCTTGTTAAGATTTAACTTTAAGTTCTTTTAAATTCCAAGCAGTCTCCTCCTTCCAAGTCCTGCTCTTATTCTTTTCCTCTCCCTTCCCACTTACAACAACAACAAAAAACTTTTTTAATATTCAGAAATCTTTATTGTCCCTTTGGCATTTAATTAAATTTCCAGCTTAATTACCTGTTAGTGCCAAAGTGGATTTTTCCAATTTCTTTATTCAGATCTTCTCGTTATCAGCGTGGGGAAGGAGAGTGAAAAAAAAACTTTCCCTTTTCACTTTCGTTCGCTGCTTCCGACTCTTCTTTGGGAGCGATGTATCTTTTGCAAAAATTAAATTCCAGGGTACCTTAGTTGTTATTTTTTGTCCCGGTCAGCCAAAAACCTTCACTTCTTAACTTCCTCCTGCACTTTCTTTTCCGGCTGAGTGCTTCTTTGAGGCAGCCATTTCTGACCGCCACTCTTGCTGCCTTCAGAAAAGGGAGTTTAGCGGATTCCTGCCTGCCGCCGAAGTGCTGCAAACCAGACTGTCATTCTAGTTGTTGTTACAGGTTCAAACCCTATTTTTGTGAATTTAGATTTCACCATTTCTTTCCAGGAAATAAATATGCAGGGAATAGTTATAATATCGCAAGTTAATTATTTTTTAAAAAAAAATTGAATTTCCCATTCTGTTTTATTAACTATTTTGAAGTGTACATGACTAACTCTTTTGTTTCCATTTACTTATTGATTTCTCACTTTAGTATATTGTGAGAAAGACAATATTTTCCTATGGCTGCTATAATAATAGACATTAAATTAACACTAACTTATTGTACCCAGTCTCAAACCATTATCATTCCTAATCCATATTTAAAGTTTGCTTGCTTTTATTTAACAATAAAGTTTTAATTAAAAATAATGAGAAATGGCATGTTGTTGGTTTTTTTTTAGAAAGTTGAGGTGTAAAATAGTGTGTAGGATTGTTATTCTTGGTTGAGGAACTGTCTCACAGATTCTAGAGGTGTACTTCTCCTTTGAATCTTTTACACCACAAGTCAAATTTTGCACTTCCTCCCTCAAGTTTGTTAGTTAGCCGCAAAAGGAACTAGATTCCAGCACAGATCACAGTTAGCATCTCCACCTAGCAGGCCAAGTCAGCCTTTTCTATGTTACTATAAATAAATGTCCATAATAGTTTTATAGCAGGCCAGAGTCCATGCCTAGCTGGAATATTGACCTTTTCATCCTTCTGACTAGGAGTTGCTAAGGTTGACAAGGGATGTAGATTCATCAATAGTTTGAGAAGATCCTATCAGCGCCAGCGCCAACACCAACTGTATGTGACCATGCCAGATCTCTGTTTGTTTTGCTCCAGTTCTGCAAAATTGTATCTTTCAGAATGCAGGACATCAAAGCATTACTAGTTAATTTCTTAACTGGGAAAAGTGTGGGCTGACATGTTTGACAAGGATAGCCAGATGCAAAAAAGCCTGAATTCCTGCCCTTTTGTCCCTTAATGAAATATACTGACATTTCAACAAATAGGCTTGCCTAGCAAAATGTTCTGTGTTTTCCTCTCTTGTACCCAGCTATTAAAGATGCAGAAGCTCAATCAGTTTTTGTGCTAGGTTACCTTACTTAAAGATTGGATTAAGGAAGCAACCAAATTTCCACTGCTTCAGAAGTATTTCATTAATGCTCTATTTTTCTGGAAATTATTTCTTGAATACATTGCAACAAACAAAATTTCCTCTCTCTGTGTTCTATTTTTACATTGAGTTTTTCCCTTTACCATCCCATTTCTTCTGGGTCTATATAGATAAGTTTGTAAATTAGTCTTCTCTCTTTGGCTTGCACAATATGCTCCTTATGTCATACATATTTTCTGGTTATGTTGGGCAGTTTGATAAGAGGGCATATTGAAACTCTGTGATAAACATAGGCTCTCCTGCTTGTAATGCCATAAAACATTATTAGATATAGGAAGTTTTTGTTGCTAATGCAATTTAGCATTTATTTAACCACTACACCCAGAGAACATATGTATTTTATATAGTACTTCAGAGACATAATAAGACATAACACATGGCATATGAGTAAATCTACATTGCACACAATTCTCTGTTGCCTTTTTATTGTGATAAATTTTTTAAAGGAACACAATTCCTGCTTTCCAAGGACAGCCATTCTCAGCAACAAATGTGATCTTACAAACAACCAGGTCCTGGGCAGGATGAGCAGTTTTATATTCAAGATAGTTCATCCTTCCTTTCTGTTGTATTTGCAGATCTCCTCATCTCAACAGAATGCTCTGGCTTTCATGGGTAGTTTTCTCTCCATTTCTGACATTAGGTAAGGTTTTCTATGGAAAAATTCCTCCCCCACTTCTATGCCAGTTCATGTCTGCTGAGACATTACCGAGGCTTGGCACGGCATGGAAGAACATCTTCAAATGAGAATTACAACAAGCACTACAATTCTGTATATTGCAATCAGTACGGTTTGCATTGAAGTAATCATACAATAAATCAGGAAGGCTCTTGGTATTCATCTTCTCTCTAAGGAAGTAAAGGGAGGTTGATGGATCTATAAATTTTCCAGGGTCTTACTTGCTAAACTAGACCATGAATGTTCTGGACATCCTATTAAGGGTATCATTAAGTCCACTACATTTAAGTCCGTTGAGTGTTGAAACATATTAAGAATTATGGCAGGGGATATTATGAGGAAATTCAGATGAAGGAAGAATTAGAATATTGCGTGGTGTGAGTGGGTGGGGATTGTCTTTTGCTCGTGATATCATAATTTCAGCTGACTGTCTTTCATACAGCATCCGCGAACACTGCCCCACAGTTCATCATGAACACCACCTTTATGTTGCCAGAGGACACACCTATAGGTTAGTGACAGAGAAAGCTTTGTTTGGAATGCAACAAGATGAAAGCCAGTATTTCTATATTTGTCAATGGTATTTTTCATAGCCTTCCTTGGCTAAGACCTATAACTGAAACAGATAGTGACTCCCATCATTTCAGCCAGTGGTTGTGATGATGGAGGAGCTATAATCCTATGCATAGTGAGGACAAATTAAAAGGATTATGGTAAGAGGACATAGTGAGTGGCTTCCAAAATCTATCCAGACCTGGTTATGCCAGAGGACCTGGGCACTCCAGGGGATGGGTGAAGTAATGAGATGGCTCTGTTATTATTAATATCCCTACATCTATTATTTGTTATTTTGGTTCTGTTTTTATAGTTTTTAATATTTTTATAACTATAATATTTATTATAGTTTTTAATATTTTAAAAAAATAATTTAATGATAATGGTTTTAACTATTGTTTTAGTTTTGCTGTACACCAACTAGAATCACTATTTTATGAGATGGGTGGCTACATTACTTAAATAAATAAAATAAAATAGTAATCCAGAAATCATTCAGGTTTCTTCCAAAGGTGTGGCTTTAGGAAGAAGTAGGGGAGAAATATGTTGCCATAAGGATTTTTTAAAAATCAGGTATCTCTCTGGTTCTTTCCTCTCACCTTCTTTGCTTCTGGCCCTCATTTTTCACTGCAGGCACCTTGGTTTTTCGGTTGGTGGCAAAGGATGATGAAAATGATCCATTATACTATAGCATTGAGGGTGAAAATGCTTACTACTTCTCACTTGATAGAAGAACAGGCAACGTGACACTGAAGCAACCTGTGGATTATGAGGTAAAGATATGAAGGGACATAACCAGGGATAGGCAAAGTGGGGTGGCAACTCTGGCAACCTCCTTCTGAACAAAGAGGTAGACCTCATTCAGTGACCACAATTGAGAGTGCCAAGTCAGTCATTAAGTGAAATTATTGTTAAGTGAATTCACAACTGTATTTAATATCTTACTTCAGCTTTCCTTTCCTTTATGGGCCTGCAAAGATCATAAGTGAAAGGATTGGTCATAAAGTTACTTGTACATTACAGTCATAACTGCAAACAAGTTGCTAAATAAGGACTACTCATGTGGCTTTCTCAATCTTTCCTTTGTATCTGTGTAAATCAGAAACATGAGTATTGTGTTAAAGATCTTGCACTATTTCTAGCATTACTATACTTGTTGTTGTTGTTGTTGTTGTTGTTGCTGCTGCTCCTTAATTATCCTTGTAATGTGATGCAAGCAGGGGTGGGATTCTACCAGTTCGGACCTATTCGGTAGAACCGGTTGTTAACATTCTAAGCAGTTCGGAGAACCGGTTGTTAGAAGAAATTACTGGCCTAATCCTGTAAGGAAGGCAGGAAGGAAACATTCTGGTGTTGCTTACAGAAACTGTCTCTCTGTTAACCCTTATTACATTCTTGGCAGGACTAGACTTCCAGTCTCAGGAACATCTCTGGAGTATTTTTCCCCTCCTTTGCTGGTACTTTGCTTTTGTAGAGTGACCATTTAAAGTTACAATGGCACTGAAAAAAGTGACTTATGAACATTTTTCACACTTATGACTGTTGCAGCATCTCCACAGTCATGAGAGGCCAGGGGAGGAGATGCATGCATCGATGTGAGTGATATTGAGTTGGCCACACCCAGCCAATAACATGACCACCAAGCCATGTCCACCCAGTCACATGACCACCAAGCCACGCCCACCACCTAAGCCATGCCCACAGAACCGGTTGTTAAAATTTTTGAATCCCACCCCTCATTAAATATATAGATGCGTGAGCACATAGGCATGCAAACTGAATCTACCATAGATTATATTGTAATAAACATATATACTCAGGGTATAAACTCCATTTTGATAATTGAATAAAGTAAGGGAGGGTGAATGGATGGACATTGGCTTGTGAAAAGCTCCATGCCTTAAAAACAACAATTGCTCTATTACTCATATACAGTAGCAATTCTTCAGGAGATGCCATTCACAGGATCTCTTTAGTTGTCCCCTCAGAGCAAAGAAGGGACTTTGGGTGATTCTGCCGTGGCTGCAGAGAGTGAGTGGAATCAATCAATCTGTACAAAGGAGACCAAAGGGGAAATAAAAAGGTTGGAGAAACACTGAGATTGTGACAAGAGCATATGGAGAAAAAGGCTAATGTTCAGTGTGTTAAGACTGGTACCTCCTATGCCAAATGTGGCTATATGCAAGTCATTTTTTGTATGCTCAGACCCATTAAAACCAAACAGTATTTATGTTTTGTGATCAGAGGGGCGTTGCTTGGAATGGAAAGTTAGGCATTTGCAAGAAACTAATCATGATTCAGTTCAGGTTGAACTTCTTAGGAAAGAAATATCAGGGGATAGCATTCCCTTTTCCTTTTCTCAACTGGCACTGGGCTCACATCTACAGTGTATTAAAATGGTTGAAAACTAAACTGTAACTAAGGTGCTATTGAAATCATGTTCATGATATATATGGTTACAGCTGAAAATAACATTTTTCTCATTCTTTCATATGTGAAAGAAGTAGCTTCTTCAGACATTTATCGCACAAACAACTTGTTACTCAGTTGCTTCTAATTAAAATGCCTTAATAATTTATGTGGAAATGGAATATTGTCCAACTCAATAACAATTTTAAAGTACAGTTAAATAACCATGTTGTCTTTCTTTTGTTTTGTTTTTCAACATGCTTTTTAAAACCCTCTATTATAATATCTGGATTGGTATTTTACACTATTTCCAAATATGTAATTGATTTTATCATTGATAACAAGAAGAATTGAGAAGTCCCATCTGCTTTCTGTAAAATTGCATTAAGTCCCAAGTGACTACCTAGATATGTACATGAAGATATGTACAGAATGTTTAAAAAACATTTTGGCAAAACTCATGAAAATGATTTAACACTTTTCTTATGGATCTTGGACCTTTTAAAAAATGTCTTATTCTAGTCAATAGTGTTTCTTTCCTGATGGTCTTCCATCCAAGTATTAATGAGGTTCAATTCCACTTAGCTTTTTTTCAAGATCCGTCAAGATTGGCTGGGTTCTGTTACAGATTGGGATCTTTGCAGGAATGCCAGTAAATAGTTTTTCTTTAAAAATGTAGTTGTCCATCACTCCGGTACACATTTAAATATTGTAAGGAAAAATTACTCCCATCATCAAAGTAAAGAAATGGTGGATGGCCATGGAACTCATATTCATAAGCTTCTTCCCCATTCAAGTTAAGGACATAGGTGGAAGAAAAATGTAAAGAAGTTTTAAAGAGATTCTTGTGAATACAAGTTTTAATTCCATTTTAAACTAGAACAATAGTGCATGGGAACAACATTGCTTTTTAAAAAATAGAAAAGCAAAGTAGATTTGGAGAAAAAGTATATTGAAGAAAAAGAATAGCTTCTGCGGAGGGAGAGCCACAGTACTGAAAAAATCAGACAAATTGACGCAATTTTGTTCTCTTAAAATTGTTTATAGAACTTTACAGTCTAAGTACAAATCAAATGTATTTAAAATTAATACATAATGCATACAATGAGGCTGAACCCCCATCCCTGCCTTTTCAAAGGGTTCAAACCCCAGCTCCTCTCTGCCTAATCTTTTCAAGTCCAGGCTGATCCTCCCTCCCCACCCAGACAAAGCTCCTTGCAGTTTCATTTAAAGTTAAACCATGGATGTCCAACCTTTTGGCTTGCCTGGGCAACATTGAGTGAAGAGGAATTGTCTTGGGCCACATATAAAATACATAATACAATGTATGTAAATAACAAACTTCCTTTTTTATTTTGATACAATCTTGTGGGGCTGCATTACTAGTTATCCAGAGCTCCATGCGTGGACACGCCTGATCTAAATCTTATTATTATTATTATTATTATTATTATTATTATTATTATTATTATTATTATTATTATT